AATGCATGGGTTGTGATAAAAGATGTAAGAGCCTCCAATAAAAGTATTTAATAATAATTTTTAAAAGAAAGAACGCTGCCTCTTTTGGGGATTCAGAGTGTAGGAGAGGAAAATCTTTATCGTGATTGGAAATCAAGACAACATCTTTGTGATTGTTTTCAAAAAATACATCGAAGGACATTTCCTGTTTGAGATATGGTAAAGGCTACATTGATAATTAACATATTTTAATATAGCAAAGTCCTTTTGTAGATTGTCATTATACCGTTAAAACAGCATCCTTCTGACCTTCAGAATCTTTATAACACAGGAAGGGTGTTTCTGGAGTGCCCTGACAATGTAATGTTAGAGAGGATTTTAGAATCTTAAAATGATTTACAATTATGGATGCATTCATTTTAATTCTTCTGTCACGCATCACCTTCCAGTTGAAGCTATGAATACATTTCTTTAAAAGGAGTGTCTTTCCAGTACAAAGTGCTAGAGGGGCTGACGCCTCTAAATTGCAACCAAAAAATGGAATCAGATGTGAATAACTAATTAATAGAGTGAGCTAGGGGATTTCTTCTAGCACAAAGCAAATAGAAATGAACTGCCGGGTGGTCCCAGCTTCCTTCTGGACTCCCAGTTTGTACCACGAGATGATTTATCAAGTAAAATTGTACGCAGTGACATTTTGCTGGAACCAAGCCACGCTGGTGCAACTGTGGAGTAGGTCAGACCCCACCCCAGCCCCCTAGAACTGGGAATTTCCGGCTAACGTCAGGCCCTGCTCTCATTCCTTACTGCGAATAAACCATGCTATTCCTGTGATGTTCTCATTCTATAAAGCAGAGAACCCCCACCTCTCAGCAGGGACTGAGCTCGGGAAGTACTTGCTGTTGACGTTTACTTTACTTTCCTCTCCTAGCTGGGTGTACGGCCGAGCCTGGGAGGGGAAGCACCACGAGAGGTGACCTCAGACTCAGGAAGCATTGTGGTGTCTGGCCTGACCCCTGGCGTGGAATACACTTACAGCATCTCCGTCCTGAGAGATGGGAAAGAAGGAGATACGCCCATTGTCAATACAGTTGTGACATGTAAGGACCTTCTCCCCACCCCCACCCTTTGATCTGCTTCTCCTTTTAGCGCCACATTTTAAAATTATCTCGCGAATAGCCCACGATCATCTTTTACGTAGGGTAACAGCTCAGGCTTTTTTCCCTCCTTCTTCTATTTCTATTTCTATTTCTAAGCTGAAGTGCGGGCTCACCTCCTGCTGTGTATTCCAGGCACCAGAAGTCCTCTTCCTTTGCCTCGATGATTCTGGAACTCTGATAAACCAGACAGAAAGAAGTGTGATCACATTGCAGACTCACTCATGCGAAAGCACTCTCTGTCGTTGCGTTCCTCTCCACAGGGCTTCCAGGGTACCACCTGTGTTGTTACTGTTGCTGCAAAGTTAAACCAAAAAGAAATGGAAAGGAAGGAAGGGTTGCATAGAATAAACGTGTCGATGCATTGTGTTTTCGGCAAAGATGAGTTTCATTTTTCTTCTTTCTGCCTAGCATTGTCTCCACCAACCAACTTGCACTTGGAGGCAAACCCGGACAACGGGGTCCTCACTGTCTCCTGGGAGAGGAGTACTACGCCAGGTAAGCATGGCTGCATTGCAGGGCAAGTATGTACAATTGCTTCCCAAGACAAGGGATTTTTCTTTTCAGAGAAATCCAGGTCAAGGTTATAGATACTCAAGTCTTCAAAAAAAAAAACCAACACGTTTTTTTTAATGCCACATGCATCATCAAGACACATTTAAAGAGTTTTAAAATCTGCTTGTGTAAATCAAAGTGAGCGATCCTGTGTTCA